TGTGCATTTTGGCAGGAAGAGGGAATAATTGAGAGCACTAGCATCAGAATGGAATTGGAGCGATAATTGAGTTTTACAAGGATTTTGCTCTGGCTTCTAATCCAAACACTTAATATTACTATAATGTGGTTTTTATAGCTTGCTTTCCTTTTTTTAAAAATGGTACTGTGTGGAATAGAATAGTGTCTATAGTGAACTATCCTATAGTGAAAATCCTGAACTAGTTCCATGCTTTGCAATGTAAAAAACTGCAATTCTGAATTTCCACTTAATAAACAATACAATTCATTCTATTATAGTGTAGAAGTCCAGAGCATTGTTCCAACACAGGGCCTGTTTCTGCCCCTTTGCAGTCAGTAGAAAGTTTTCTATTGATTGCCGTGAAAATATAATGAATCCATACAGCCTGATTGTCTAATGTGCTGAGCACCTTGATTTCTCATTCACTTTAATAGGAAGCGAGGTCACTCAATTCACTACAGAACCAGACTTCTAGTGAGACACAATCCCTGTATTAAAAATATACAGTCTTATAATGAAGTTATGTGGAAAAATAACAACACTATGAAAGGTCCCATTGTATTTTTAAAAAAATAAATTAAAACTGGAGGGGTAAGGTAGTTCATTTGTCATGCTTCCTACTTGACATAGATGCCAGAATGAACCTGTTAAGATTTAACTGCATTTTCAGTGGTCATTTAATATATATTCACAAACTACCATAACCATTCCTTGAGTGTAGATTTTGTATTATAGATCCATAATATTGAATGCATATTAATATTCCTCTGAAAAGTAATCTTTGCATGCAAAATAGATGCTTTTTATGACTCAGTTTCTTGGCCATCTCGTTTGTGTGTGTTTTTTTTAATGACAAATGACAAAAGATTTTTAATAACACTATTACTCAGATAATTTATTTTATAACTGGTTTTCAAAATAAATGCTTTGCACTCAAAACCTGCTGTTTGAAGTTTCACCTGTGGTAAATTATCACAACTGAGTTATAAAGCCCTCAGACTAGGTGCCTGACAGAATATTGACATCCCCTTATTTAAAGTGATGCTAGCAAGTGCTACTCTCATCCCTTTAATATCCATGTTTTTATGTGCAGTGAATGTGTTTGTGTGTGTGTATATATATATATATATATATATGGATATGTGTGTATATTTATATATTCACATACATATATGAAGTTAAACATATACATAACCAACCCTCTAGTTTTATAGTTCATCACCAAGAAAAATTGGATTCCCAAAATTACCTTGCCCAGAGTCTATGGAAATATGGATTCTATAACTATATTGAAGTACATTTTGCAAGTCTCTTTGAAAATGGAAAGTTTACATTTCTCTTTTTCTTATGTATCAGACAGTGTTTTAGATGGTGTTGCATTTAGCAGGTTAATCAAACCTAGAGGAAAAAACTATTTCATTTTAATGTAGTTCTTTTAGGTATAAATTGCTGAAACAAGTCTATTTTATATATTAAGAAGTCCATACAAAATGCAGTACTTAAAAGGTGAGGCTACTACAGAAACCACTGGTCAGTTTTAATGCTTCTGGAGTCCTAATTTCATTCTGAAGAATAGACCAATCATTATAGCTCTGGACTAGCTTGTTAGTCATGCACTGATATGTGTAATTAAATATTTCTTGAGCCCAGAGGGAGCACATTTACACTTTAAAGAGACACTGCTAAGCTAAAAGATAATTAGCATCACATGTGAGGGCTTTGCTTAAAATATATATATTATGCTATCACTTCTTGCTGTGTGCAATGGCATTTACTAACACTGCTCACTTTAAAAATGGACAAATTCTTATTTTGCCAGCTAATTAGCGGTTGCCAGTGTCATTTTTGTGATGTTGCAGCTAGTAATATGAGCCCAGTTGCATAGTCACAAAAGTGATCATTGGAAACTGTGACTCTGCTGCAGGGACAATGTGGGAAACCCCTTTTCTGAGCCTCTAACGACCTCTGACCTTTGCTTGCTGATGGTTTGCATGATGATTTCTTTTTCACTCAATGAGCCAAGGGTTGGTTTGTATTACTAATCATTCTTTTCTAAGTTAATTCTTCCTGTATTTTATATATATTTTTTCTTAAGCATTCAAGACCTTTGCTTACTGATGAATTTTAGATTCACTCTGCTTAGAAATGGGATACTGGTGCATTTTTTAAATATCTTCATAAAATTGTAGGCTAAGCTGGGAATCATGTTTTAACATGTTGTCTGAAATGTGTGATAATAAAAATGTTTGAAACTTTATCAATATAAATGCTAAACTTGAGGTGAATTTTCCCAACATATATCTGCCTGTCTTATTTACAAATAGGATCAATGCAGTTTTTGTTGAGGATATACTTTCCTCTGTAGTTAATTACAATATGCTTAATATCCTGGTAAAGTTGCTATTCTATAAAGAATGGAATGGAACTGCACAAGTGCAAAAGACCTGCTGTCTAGTTGTTTGCTCAAAATGGAGAAAGTTACTCTGTCAAGGTGTGCAGGGGAGGGAAGAAGAGGGTAGAGAGTGATTGGCTACAGTTTGGACATATTATTGTATCAGTTACGTTATAGACATTTGAAATCTAACTTACCCTGTAATACAGAAATAATTAAATATCCAGTTTAATTTTTTGTTCATCAAGTTGATTCCCAAATATGAAATTTATCTGTTGGTTATAAGACTCCTATATGTGACATTAAGAACAGTAATCAAAAGATGTATCCGTACAGACAAATATAACTCTTTAATTAAAAATCTTTTAAAACTGGGAGGGTAGGGTGGTGGTTTTCAGGTTTTGGATGGTAATAAGTTAGCTTGTTTTCAGAAATTGTAAAAATACTTTCATGAAAGTAGATAAAAAGCACACTTAATTTCCACTGTCATGTGCTCTTTATTGATTTTACATGTATTTCAGAGAATGTGAATTATTCTACCACGTTATCAGAGCTTATTATAGCAAAAATGTGGATAAAGTCCCTATAATGAATTGTAAGTGGCTGTATGGTTTATAGAAATAAGTTCAAGGCTGGGAATGGAGAAATCCAGAGTTCTAGTCCCAGCTCTACTTATTATTTGCTCTGAAGCCTTGAGGATACATTTCACCTCCCTGCCTCAGTTTCTGCATCTCTAAAATGGGGATTAATCTTTCTTATCTATCACACAGGTGTTTTGTGAAAATTCATTTTTAATGTTTATATCTTTAAAGTGCTCTAACAGTGTTATGTGCTTTACAGGAACTATGTATTATTACTATGTGTAGTTTCTGGTTAGACTTCTTCATGACAAAAAGCCAGTTGTGAAAACAGAGTTATTTGGGGTGTCATTATAATCTTGGTTGCCAGTTTTGGTCGAGTTGTGGGTATCTGAAAGACTGCCTTTCAAATGTAGATCCTTAAGTATTTTCAAGCTGTGCTGTAAGCAATTTTTAAAACTATATATGAATATTTATCTAGCACAGATGTTACAGAATATAGATGAACAACCAAGAACTATGATTCAAGTGATTAGTGATGCTTTAAAAGTCTAATACCAAAGCTCATAGTTGCTAAATTCCAGTAGCATACTTTATCATGTTTTTTATCATTAAGTTTCTGTTATACACTTGCTGTTAACAGTTATTGCCTTGGTGCATCTAGACTTCCTTTGGAAGGTGTCTTATAAAATAGTTTTATAGCTGATCTTCAAGTGAGATCAAATGTCTAATCAAGAAGAGAGAAGGAGTTTAATTTTTTAGAAAGAACACTTTCCAATTTTATCCTTTGTTCTGTTTGCCTTTTTAATGTATGCATAGACACTTTATATTTTTAGATGAGTAATATGTTTCACATATAAAATACATATCTAAAGCAGTAACACATTTTTTTAAAACCTACTTGAACAGATTTTGGTTCTTGTCACATGTTCAAAATCTGAGACTGAGTATCTTGGTTTACTTCAGTATTCTTATATATCAGTCCCAATACCTTAATACAACAGCATATCGGTATAGCAGCTCTTTTCTGGCGTTGGTATTTTAGTCACCTCTACCACGAGTGATTAGAGTTCTGAAAGAATAGTTACTTCAGAGTACTTACTCTTTGCTTTTTTGGAAATAATCTTTTTCATACAAGACCACATTATTCTGACTGTAATACTTGCTTTTATTTTTGCATTTAAACATTTCTGTGAGTAAGTTCACAAATTCAAGGTTCATTTTGAAAATCAAAATATTTTATGAAAACATCCTGAGATTCTGCTTAACTAGCAAAGAGTTTGGGAAGAAAGTGTCTTTATTTGTTGGCTAACCAGTAATTGTCTAAAAAAGCATTGTAAAACAATGTCTGGAATTTAAATTATTTGTTCTAACAGGAAAATAGAAACAAACTTGAAACAGAATGATGTATGTAACTTAGCTATTTGTTAAACATGAGCTAATAAAAATGCATATTTCATTAAGAATAACAATGAATATTTGCTTTGTCTTACCACTTGTGATTTTGACAGTTGGCTTAGGAAATTTTACATATAATTATTAATTGTTGTCTGTTTTATTGCAGAAAAGTAAACAAGTGTTACAGGGGTCGTTCTTGTCCAGTAATTGTTCACTGCAGGCAAGTAAAAATATTAAAATATTTTAAAATAAGTTTTTGTGCAATAAGAAATTAATGTAAATAAAACCAAATGGGTGCATTAAAGTTTTAGTTATTACCTAAGCAAATAAAATACTTTCTGTATCAGATCAAATATTTATTTAGTTTAGTTCTTATGCTACTAAAGCTGATGATCTGATTTCATGGTAAATCTGCCCTTTAATATGATGTTGGGTGGTAATTCACAAGTTACATCTGATTTCTGTATTTAAAAATCTCATTTACTGCTTTTTGATTTTAGAAATATTCTTCAAAGTTATTTCAGTTCTTTGTATTCCCAATTTAGACTAAGTGTTTTGCATTGTTAAATATAAAAACATTTATCTATGTTTATGTATGTTTTCTTTAAATAATCATGATGAGAGGAAATAGGATGGGGAAAACTGTCCTCTTGCTGGACAGTAAGCTCAAACCTTCTAAACATAAATTTATTTAAACCTGCCAGTATGGTGGATGTAAATGGGAGCAGTTTGATGTCTCAAAACAGAACTTAAAGTATCAATGCAAATACTCATTTTTGTAGCTGTATGGACCAGGTTATATAGAGAAGGCTATGTTCTCATTCTTTACCAACTTCCTTTCTACCTAAGATGTTTTTGTGGACAGGGGAAAAATCATAACATTGGAAGGAATCACCACATAGCTTACTACGTGCTCCTTCATGTTATTGGAGGGTGGGGGGAGAACAGCAGCATATTTTCCATATGTCACAAGCCTGCTGCGATCATTATATAGGGATAGGGTCATATAACACATTGTGTAGTGATACCCTCCAAGAACATGCACAATATGGAGGGGAGCCTGTGTCTCACTGAGAAGGTCCAAAAAAGAAGGAATAATATAGAAAGATCTGTTCTTTAAAAATTTTGCAGGCTGTCTCTTAATCTAATAAATGAAAATGTCTCTAACATTCAGCCTAGCAGTTCTTGTTTTATTAGGTCTGCCCATGACGTTGTCACTACTTGGATGAATTAATAAGATTCAGGGGGAAGGGGATTGCTTCCTTTACAGTCAGGAACCGGGCGTGGTGTAAAGAAAGCAAAAGATCTCAGTACCACTAGCTGCCTCACTGCAAAAGTTGTTCTAGTAAATCATTCAGATCAAACTTCTCCTACCTATGTAGGTTTATCAAAAATGTGTTTTCACAGTCTATATGTAGATGGAACATTATAAAGCAGATTACAGTGTTGCGTTTTTTTTCTTCTTAGTAATACTGTAGACAAAGTGTATCACTAAAAATAATTTACTTGGAAAAAATAACTAATCAATTGGTCCACACATGCCCATTTTGAGAAATATTGGTGAGGGAAGTGAAAAAAATCTTTTACTTAAAGTCTTAATTATGTTTGCTAACAGCAGCCATAAAAGAACATCACGCTGCCAATTACAAGCTGCTCCCTGACAGGAACACAAACTGCATTCAGATTAGGAAGCTTTGCCTCCTCACAAGGCTTGATCACAAATCTCTGAGGGAGGATTGGAAATACACTAAGGTTAAAGATTTTTTTTTAAATCACATGGTAGTATTTTCCCCCCTTATTACAACTGAGGCAAAATTAAACAGGATGGATGGGGAAGAAATCAATAGAGAAATTTAGAGATTTTTCAAGTCCAGATGTCTAGTATCTTTTTTTTTTTTTTTTTTTCAAAGAAAGAATTTGATCCTTAAGTAATAAAATATTTTTAGTTCTTGGATAGAACTCCAGGAAAGCGGAACATAACTAAAAGGAAAATACATCACTATGGTGCATATGCAGAGTAACCTGGCTGCTCAAGTACAAATAGAATTAGCAATCATTTTTGGAGGATTCGAGATGATGTTCTATTCCCAGCTCTCGTGTGATTGTCTATTGTATGATTCTTGATCTTGGATACAAGATTCCATAAGCTTATTATGTGAACACTTTGTGAATAGAAATGGCTGTCTGTTGTGGGATTACTGACCCTTTCACTGTTGTTTAATTATTTTTAAAATAAACACATCTTTGGTTCTATAAAACAAAACCCTGATATCCATGTAGAACAACAGTTAATCCTACATGAACAGCTTGTGTTAATTAAAGCCATTACAAGCTTTCTCTCCCTCTTCTCTTATTCTTGTTTCCTTCCCCATCTATCCTCTCTTCCTCTGTATGAAACAGTATAAAAATAATGGTAGCTACCTCTCTTTTGAGTCTGGTTGTTCATTGATGATTGTTTTCCTTCTCCCTTTCTGTTGGCAGTGATGGTGCAGGAAGAAGTGGAACCTACATTCTAATTGACATGGTTCTCAATAAAATGGCCAAAGGTGAGAATCAAAAAGCGTGTGGCTTTCTCAGTGCTGAAAGATGTGGTGGTGTTACCATAGTAACATACAGAGAAGTATTCACAGAAGGCCCAAGAATAAATTAGAAACAAATTGTACCCTTTACTGAATGATCTTAAGTTTATTTTCAGTGCTCATGTTATTTAAAAAATAACGCTGTTCGTGAACGGAGTCTATACACATATGCTGTTGGAAGAAGCAGGATTTGTATCTTTGACTTTATTATTTTAAATATTTTTATAGCTAAAAAAAGATTTGAACTATATGATAAATATTTATAAATGTTGTTGAATCAGTAAATTTTTTTTTTCAGTGCGTTGTGCAAGCAGCTCATGTACATAGCAGTAAACACAATTACCTGCCTTTAGAGAAGGGGTATTTCAGGGAATATGGCAATGAAATGGATTGAGAGTTGGCTGACTTGAACTGTAGTCTCCTGTCTGTCATTGTCTGTTTGCAGATTTTGGACAGGTCACTTAACTTCCCTGTGTCTCTGTTTTGCCCATCTGTAAAATGCTCCTTTCTATAGAGTGTTTTAGCTACATAGCTGAAAATCATAAGTAGTCAACATTATTATTTATTATACCTTTATTATTTTTTTTAATTCTATGACTTGTCTTAAGGAGTGATGCAGTAATCTTTCTTTTTATTCTCCAATAAATATTTGATTATGGGAAATGTTAGGGCACATGGAAAAAGTCATTGTCTGAGAAACAGACCATAAAATAAAGTAAATTACCCACTGTTTTAAAAGTGTAATACTTGAGCGTTTCAAAAGTGCTCAGCATTAGTCATTTACCTGAGTAGAAGCAGAGGCAAGCCAATGCTGAACACTTCTGAAAACCCTATCCTATATTATACGGACCTGGTCAATCAGTATTTTGCGTCTATGTTCTACCCCTTTCACATAATTTCTGTCTGTGTTGTATTCCTACAGCGTAAGAGTTTTGAGGGTAGGGAATGTGTTGCTTTTGTGTTTGTACGGTACCAAACACTTTCAGAAATAAATAGTAGTCTTTTGTCTTCTCATCACTGTTCTTCTGCATCCCTTTTTTAAAACTAGTGCAGTGGCCAGTCATTCTAATCACGGTACCAACATTGTTTAATTAAGTGAACTCATCTTAGCTTCATATGGTTTAAAAATTAAATCCATGGTTTCGATTTTCTGTTATGTCTGAAATTGTCATGTCCAAGAAATAATTACTTGCCATTCCTTCAGATGCAGGAGTTTGACATTTCTTCTCCTCTAGTTCTGACTGGTAACATGTCTCATCAAACACACTCATAAAGAGCTATAGTTTGTGCCCTTGAGCATCATGTGAAACTTGCTATTGATGTGAAAAGAAGTTATGTTGCCCGCTTTATGCCAAGTCCCAGAGTGAAGATTTTCCAGCAGGTTGAGATGATTTTTTTCCAATCTCTTTGGATAAAATATTTGTGTTTTGTGAAAGCATTTGCAGGAATTTCAGCTACATGGTACATTTTTGTTTCCAGTGGCAACTTGATCTCTCCAAATAATATATGTGATGTAAGGTAAAACTGATTCACAGTTTCTATTAAATATTTATTATACTTTCATTCAGCCTTCAGCCAGGAGAGGATGTGATGAACAGTAAATTTAAAATATATGAAATGTACTTGCATATAGAAATAAATTAGAAGTATTTTCTAGCTTCGGGCTTTCGACCACTTAAGGAAGGGTTGACTTTGTTGTAAGAGCACTAAAGAATGCCATTTATTGACTCCATTGTACCATGTAATGTCAAATTCCATTTTAAGTGTGGGCTTAGTGTTGCACAATACAAGACAAGTCATGTGAAACTGGCCAAAGAAAGGAGTCACAGGGCTTTTTAGATTGGTCACCCCCATTTTGTTCTTGACCTGCTCCCCTCTGCCAATGGGGGTGTGCAATTTGAAATCCTCTGACCTGGTGCTTTGGCTGTAGTTTAAATGAAAGATCAAAGGGCAAAGCGGGCATCTCAACCCTGCTGAGGTGGGCCTTTCCCAGGCTGTCACACTGTGAGGCAGCCAAAGGTTTTGTTCTGACAGGAATCTAGGCCCAGTCTGTGAGGCCTAGGCCTTCTTTGTCTGTCCTGAGAAGTTTGAGGCCCAGGTTGAGGATCCAATGTTCATCAAATGATCAAAGGCCTGAAGCCCTGGACATGAAATCTTTCTTTCCATTTCCTTTTCTTAAAGAATGAATTGCACGAGTACCAAAGAATGCCATTTCCAAAGCTTTTATGTGGAGGGCTAGCTCTAACTTTAGAGTCCTTCAGTTCTAAACAGAAAAATGTAAGTGCACTTTCAATCTGGGCCCAGCTGCAAGGCCAGCATCTACTAACATTTCTTTCAAAAAGGCTTTTAAGGATTAAGGCTTCAGTCTTTCAAAAAAAAAAAAAAAGACTTTTAAGAATAAACTTAGAATAAGTTGAGTTATTGTTCCACTGTCTGGTTTATTAGAAAGTAGACAATAATGCATTTTTAAATCGACGTAAATAGAGGACTATTTAGTTTCAGCAGTGGGAAAGTAGAAAACAATCAATAAAACACTTTGGCTCTTTAGCAGGGGTTTTAATAGGGCAGATTTAGAAAAGGGTGCTCCTTTTTCATGTAATGATTTACTTTTCTACATTTGAAATAGTTTCCTTTGGACATTTAACTGTAAATGCTTTTGTCGTTTACAATTTCCACACCTAATCACATAGTAAATTAGTGCTAATACTTCTGTTATAAATTCAGACCTATTGTTACTACAGCTGCTCAGAGTTGCACTAAAACTGTACTGTTTTATACACTTAAAGCAAACAATTAATTATTACAATTATTCAAAATTATGGCAGCAGAAATCAATAGACAAGGATTTCATATTCTCTGTTAAGTGGTACAACTTGACAATGATATAACATTTGCTAAATCTTCCTAATCACACTCTCCCCCTTACTAAAAAAACAAAACAAAACACCTCCCACACTACACTTCAGTTGCAGTGGCATAAGAACATTAAAACTAACACTGATCATTGAAATGGCACCGCCAGAATACTTTTGTCATAAATGTTAAGGATTTCCTCCTTCGTTCTGTGCTCGAGTAGAGGGCAGAGCATATGAAAAGATCTCATGATGCTGGGGGAAGCACTATGCTGAGTAAACACATTCCAGTTCCCAGTTGCCATTGTTATTCAAACAACTTCAGCATGTGTTTTTGGAGCCCCTTTGACTTTGCACATCATCATGAAGGATTTCTTGTTGGGCTGTCTGTTTGTAATTATTTATCGTATACTCTTTATTGTAAACATAGTAGCTGTATTCGTGTATTATAAAATCCATTAGTTAAAGGTGCCATGTTAAATAATCTAATTGTATAAAATTGGAATAGTTAAGACATCATGATGATGATGATATCCATTCTGTACCAAATGTTCAACATGGACAGTCTCTTCAACTTCATTTTTATGCTCTGCAATAACAAATCAGTCATATATGAATGTCCAAAGTATTCCTCTATCATGGGGGCAGTGAAAAGTTTTAAAATGAAATTTATTTTGATATTTAACAATTCCAGTAGCTTCAGTGTTATGCTCTGCCATCCAGATACTTTTGCTAAAATATTGCTGATTATTATTCCTTATGCAGAGCAGTGCCATAACAAAGATCTAATCCTGTTCCTATTGAAATCAATAACAAAATTCCCATTGACTTGAGTGGTGCCTCATGTTTAGCCTTACTGAAAGCTCTAGAACTTGACACCTCTAAATGGTGATATTCCATTTCAATGAGCAGTGGAATGTTAAGGGGGTTACAGAAAAGTGAACAGGGAATACCGCCTTTTCAGTTTCCAGATGCACATTTTTAATCCAAGCCTTGGTCCTGAGTGAAAAGTTTAAGAGGTTTCCTTTCAAATCAGTGTGTGTTTTCAGTGTTTGAGTGAGGAAAGAAAATGACAGGTCATTGTTTTTTTGGTGATTAGAGATTGCTTGCTAGAGTGCATTTCAGAGGCCGTTTCCTGTTATGAATTGTAACATTCTTCATTCAAATGTTCACACTAATATATTCAACAAGAGTTTGTTTAGCTTTTTTCCACAGGACTGGAGAACCTGATTTCGATAAAATAATCCATCTGATCATTCCCCCAAAGCCACACCAAACATGAACTGTTTGGGCTTTTTCTTTTTTTAAACTAAGAACTTCAGTATTCTTCCCTTCCTCACCTTTCTTTTATGCCCTTCTTCATTCTGGCAGCGAAGTACAGAAATACTGCAAGAGACTATTATTCGAGTATTATCTGGTAGGATGAACAAAAGAAGGAATCTGAATGAGACTTCAAGTTTTGTGTTCTCTTTGGACAGTTTTGGAGAGTGCAGATAATTATTTGAATTTAGGATACTAATTGTGTTTTGAAGCCATTAGAATTTGGAAGATGGAAAATATGCATTTTCAACTTCTATTGCAATACATTCTAAATTTCTGGACCTGAAAATCCAGAGTAAAGATTGGATGTAGCAGAGCCAGACTCAGTGAATCTTCTTCCAAGTGTGAAAACTAGAAGGATTCCTTAGTTCCTCTTGTGACTCATAACTACCAACAGCATTTAGCATCTGAGCATTTAGCGAAACAGATCCCTTTTCACTAAGGCATTTTGCGTAATCATAAATCAGATCTAACTAGCATAATCAACTGAGCAAGTCACCTCCACTGAAAAGAAGGCTGTATAAGATAAGTCTTGTACACAGTAGTATTTTAAATTGGATTTAATCCAATAATTTTTATGTTCTTGTATAAAGATTAAGCAAAATTCTATTTTCCAGTAACAGTGATGTAAATATGGTCAGCTTCTTGGACTTCAGTTAACACTGGATTTATACTGGCTAAAAAGAGAGTAGATTTGGTTCTAGGATACAGTTTCCATTGTAAACACAATTTATAGAGTGATTATTACAGAGTGGATGGACTATCTAAAGTTTAAAGAGAAGATTGTCATCTTAT